TCCAACCTTGATTCACATTAGTTTTCTTCCAACTTGAACTCCATTCTAGCAATCCAACCTTGATTCACATTAGTTGTTTATATTTGCGTGAGCTATTAAGAGTATGATATACCATATCATCTAGTCGTCCATATTCTGGTCGAGTTGTCTTAGAGAGGTTACTGGATCTAAGAGTATGGCAAGTACTTGCCAGGGTAATATGCTCGCCTCAATAGCAGTGTCTCTGACACCCTCAAAAAATGTTTAAAAAACGACTTGAATCCCTTAATATCAATCACTTTTTTCAATATAAACTGTGCACATAAACTTCATTGGATGTCTCTACTCGATACAACCTTTGCACTAACCCCACGTCTAATTTCGGTATAAATATAACCTCAACCTCATTGTCAAAGCTTCATCTGTTACAATTGTCATTCAAGCATTTATGCAATTCCCCCCTCCAGTAAAAAACAATCCCATCCTCGCTAGAAAGCTCATGCACCATTCAATGAGTAAGTGCTCTCACACTACCAAGTGTTTCTATTGCTATGAATGTAACCCTACTGTCATAATCATGTTCTCATTGTTATCCTATGTATAATGTTCTTCACTTATTTTTTTTTCTTATTTTTCCATTGTCTCTATTCTTCCGTACTTTTCTCCTCATTTTATTGTTTTCTTCTTCAGATCATTATACAAGCAGTGGAACCCAAGATGCTATAATCGATCAACATACCTCGTCCTCGCCATCCTCATCTCATTTGTAGAAATTGTAGGTGAAAACCTAACCAGCCACAATTCTCTTCGACCCAGGCACCTTTTCAATGAATTCGATAGGTTGATAGACTGTGATGATTGTTGTGTACAAATTATTCTTTTTACCGAGTACCAAATCAAAAGATTCGTTCCCCGGGTCGATCTCACGAGGAAGGCGGTTCGGAATTTAGAAATGACACATAAAAACAAAAGAAATCCTAAACACACTAATCAAATAGGGAGAATCAATTACCAACCAAGAAATAAAATAAAAGCAATATCAACCTAAAAATATGAACGCGATAAAGATGGAGAAGCTAGGGAATCAGAGATAATTAATTCAAGTTCTAGCAAGTCAGACAATCAATTGTTCGGTTCGAGATTGACACTCTCGCTTACACATCTAGCGGTTCGCTCCCAATAACTCTTCGTAACAAGGGACTGAACATAGACGAACAAGTTCGAGCATACAATACATGCCAATTATCCCAATCCCAATAACTTTTCGTAACAAGGGACGGGTCATCGACAAACACGTATTTCAATAAAAAACACATAGATTATTCAGCTACGAAATCATCTATCTCATGCGAGCCTAGGTCTACGACTTCTTTCCCTTTCGGTTCTAAAAGTCGCTAATTAACTATAAGGTGTTTAATCAATTAATCACATAAAATTGACAAATCCTAACTCGACAAACTAATATTCAATTGATTCCAACTGCAAGATCTAAGTGTCACTCTTCGATTATATCAATCAATCAAGCTCAAATTCATCAATTCTTAATCAAAATAACTCACATAAGCAAGAACAATTCAGGCCCGACAAATGCATGTTAAACAAGAACAATAAAACCCCTATCCCTAGCACAAAGGATCAGCTACGTAGAATGAATCCAAAACACATAATCATTCTTCTCAAATCAACTATTATTCATGAGTTAAATAAGAGAAAGAAATACTTACAATTAATCCAAGTTCGAACGTTGAATTCGTAATACAAGCTTAATACGAAGAAAAAGGAGAAAAAATGGAAATAAAGATAAAAAGAAGAAGAAAAAATAGAGAAGAATAAGAGAGGAAGAGAAGGAAAGAAAGGAGTTTTGTCGCTCTCTCGGGACCTAGGGTTTGAAGCCCCGGTCGAGAGTTGATCCCCTGGTCTGATCCAATCTCGCACATATTTATACAATTATCGGGACACGGCGCGGAAAATAAACTGGCACGG